CCCCAGCGTGGCTCAGGGGTTGAGCTTCAACCTATAAACCAGGAGGTCATGGTTCAATTCCCGGTCAGGGCACATGCCCAGGGCGTGCAGGAGGCAGTCAATCAATGATTCTCTCTCATCATTGGTGTTTTTCTCTCTCCCCGCCCCTCTCCCTTCCTCTCTGAAATCAATGAAAATATATTTTTAAAAAAGTAGGTCTGTTATCATGGTTTTAGTCTAAAAGAGTCACCTAAGAACGCCAAATGTTTTCAAGCACCATAGCTATTTTGGTTTAAAGCTTTTATTTCAGCGCCACCTCTCTTCACAAAAGCAGAACTCCGGTAGTGAATTGATTGGTCGAGGATTCGAGGAAATTGTGCCTAATTTCTGGTCCCAATCTGGAATTTAAAACAAGTTAATGATTTACTTTAGGACTACTCACTCCTAAATTTTAACTCACTTTCATTTCAACAGCAATTGTATAAAATAACAAAATTTATGGGATTTAAGACAAAGGAATATGTTTCAAAGCTATGTAAAAAAGGACTTAGTCAAAGGGTTATTTTTATTTATTTTTTAATATACTTTTACTGATTTCAGAGAGGAAGGGAGAGGGAGAGAAAGATAGAAACATCAGTGATGAGAGTGAATCACTGATCAGCTGCCTCCTGCATGCTCCCTCTAGGGGATTGAGCCCACAACCCAGGCATGTGCCCTTGACCAGAATCGAACCTGGGACCTGTTAGTCTACAGGCCGACCCTCTATCCACTGAACCAAACCAGCTAGGGCCAAAGGATTATTTATGTGGCTTAATCTCTGGTTCATAATACTGAATTATGCAAAAATGTAATGAAAATAAATCACAAATTTGCATTTTGACATCCTAATTCTAGACTTCCCCCAAACCCTTGAAACTTTACATTATAAATGGACACTTTGTATCCTCTTTGTATCAAACTGCAGTTGTTACCATCCCTAAATTCATACCTATTGGCATCCCCTCCTATCTTACAGTCTATAGCCACTGAGAGTTCTGCTTATGTAAAGGAGGGCTTGCGTGGAAGACCCCAGTCATTGCATCTACGCTTAATGAATCAAAGACCAGGGTGTTTCACCTGGTTGGTGTGGCTCAGTGGCTGAGTGTCGACCTATGAACCAGGAGGTTACTGGTTCGATTCCCGGTCAGGGCACATATCCAGGTTGCAGGCTCAATCCCCAGTAAGGGGCGTACAGGAGGCAGCCTATTGATATTTGTCTCTCATCAATGTTGCTCTCTCTCCCTCTCCCTCTGCCTTCCTCTCTTTCAAAAAATTAAGAAAAAAATGTTTTAACAAGACTTCATATGTACAGTGCTATGCTCTGTATTAGGTGTTGTGCTTACATTAACTCATATTCACAGTAACCCTCAAAGGCCCACCGATATTCCCGCCATCTCAAATAGATTAATAAATTTGCCGAAATTTACAGGACTTGGAAGAGAAGGGGCCCCCATTTGACCCGGGATTATCAGGCAGCTAAGTCCCTAATCTTTTCACAGTTCTATTCCACCTTCCATAGCACTTCAACAGCATTTAAACAAACATTTCTTGATATTAAGAACAAATAACATCTCATTTGCCCAGAGGGTATGACTAGAAATGCCATCCCTGGAGGATTTTTAAAATCTAATTTAATTAAATGTGATCCTGTATGTAATTAGTAACCATTTAACTTCTCAAGGCTTGCTATGGAGTTGAACAGCAACTCTGACCTTGAAGATTATCACGTATTCCCGGGACATATATCAAAGTAGTTTAGAAGTGGGAGGAATCCTACGCAAGAGCCTTAGCGATCCTCATTGTAGAAATTACAATGGAGCTGAGCTATACACAGTTAGCCAGGTAAATTCAACAGTAAATGTGCCCAGAACACGTGACAAACTTCTGGGGCTTCCTTGTGACATTCCAGTTAGTGAATATATATGCCCACAGTGAATGCTGTCAAACCCGAAATATCTGATACAGATTTGGCGGTGGAAGGAACATGGGGAAACGATTTTTTAAAACTTTCACACCATTTGACAAAGTGAAATTACAATTCATATGGATTTGTGGTGGTGCCTTCTTTGAAAGTCATCATTGAATGTTTCTATCTCTCTTTCCTTCCCCTTGCATCTCTGAAATGAATAAACATATGTATATATATTGAGAATGAGTAGAGTTCCTCAACAATATGTGAGGAGTGATCAGACTTGAGCTGCTTCCTCTCAAGGACATTTGTATATCTTCATTCCTGAAGTCTCTACAGGGAGCTAGGAAGGAAGATGCCCTTGGGCCGACCTCACCGTTCTTCCTGCACCGGGACACACGCCTCCTCCCCCTCCCCCCAGCTTGGCTGGTCCCAGACATGCAGAGGCAAGCCTGTGGGAGTTGCTTCTCCGTGGCCCAGGCGGGGCTGGTCTCAGAGGGTAAGAGCAGTTGGCTTGACTTACCAAGCACGTAAAATGGCAGCGAATAGTGTTTTTGGTACGTGGTTTCTTTGTACCATGCTTCGTCAGGCCTGGAGTGTCTTTGGAAACAAATATATCGGATGAGAGTTTGTTGGTCTAGCTGAGGCTGGCATTGACGTTTCTCCTCGGGTGGCACGGCCAAGTCTATGAGAGATCTAAATGAAAATAGAAACAGCTCGCTGAACACCCAGTCGAAGAAAAGCTTTCCATTTTCTCATCAGCTGAAATTCATTCCCTGGAAGTAGCCAGGAGGCCACCAAGACAGTGTTGGCCAGACTGGTCAATCAAGGCTAGCCCTAGCCAAACTGTCAGTAGATGGCTCAGGGGTTCCAGTCCCCTGTCCCTCCCTTTGCAGCCCTTCTCTCCCAGTCACGGGTCACAGAAGGCAACCTGCTTTTCTTTTCCTTCTTATTTTTTTAAAAAATATATTTTATTGATTTTTTACAGAGAGGAAGGGAGAGGGCTAGAGAGTTAGAAACATTGATGAGAGAGAAACATCTATCAGCTGCCTCCTGCACACCCCCTACTGGGGATGTGCCCGCAACCAAGGTACATGCCCTTGACCGGAATCGAAC